ATGAGCTCATTACGCAGAGAGACCAACAAGTGTTGACATAAGAAGAGAAAGATAAAAGCAGAACATGTTATGATGGTCTTCTGACCTGTGATGCTCACTGGTCAGAAAGAGAGGTGTGTTAAGCTGAGGTGTGGTTTCTCTGGTTCCACGGCTCTTTGCGGTTTTGTTTTGCTTGTTACACTGCTGGGAACATGTCGTCCATCTCTGTACCGCCACCAAAATGCCTGCAGAAACCTCTGACTGTTCCCTATCGTCACATGTTTGGACCGGGACCTTCAAACGTCCCTTCACGGATCTTGGAGGCCGGTGCTAACCCTGTCATTGGACACATGCATCCAGAGATATTCGAGGTAACTTCAGAGGTTTAACACCAATGACTAGGATCTATATTTGGGTTGCATGCTGTCTGTGCTAGACAAAGATTGGGAATGGTTCTAACATCAGATCGCTACTCGTTTCACCAAACTCGGCCCTTTTTCAATTACAGATAATGAACGACATCAAGAGTGGGATCCAGTATATGTTCCAGACTCAAAACAAAATGACTCTAGCTGTGAGTGGCACCGGCCACAGTGCTATGGAGTGCGCCATCTTCAATGCAGTGGAGCCCGGGGAAAGCGTGCTTGTAGCTGTGAATGGAATCTGGGGGGAGAGAGCAGCTGAGATGGCAGAGAGGATAGGTAAGGCTCATTGTATCATTTGTACCTAACAAATCCTGGAAGATAACCAAATTCAAAAATATAATTTCCTACAACAGATGGGCACTGTTCAAAAAGAGCTTTTGCTGTGGAATACTTTCACGCCTTTTCCAAATGTACGGCAAAGTTGATGTGTGCCATCTGCTAATCTCTGAAATCGCCTAAGAAACTGTCTCTCTCACGCAACTGTGCCTCCACCCGGGCCATTGTGTGAGTTCCAGGTTACACAAATTGTGACAGGCACAACATGCATGACACCAAAGCACACTGCAAGTCAAGCTGAACATTTTCACAGACGCCATCATAGCTGTTTAAAACATTAACTTAATGTTGTGCTAGCAGCTGAACCTATAATCTCCTGAGAAAGGTTTTTACTGAGGTCATACAATAAGGGAACCATGAGCCATATATGCAGTCTATGGTGAATACTCATTAGCTGCTCTAGTATTTGCAGCATGTCCACAGTAACGAACATGTCAGGCAGTGCATTATACTGACTTTTAGGAAAATAACGGAGCATTGTGGAACATAATTAAATAATCTCCCATAGGTCTTTCCACAGGATTTGATGATAAAAATACAGATTACTGCTGCTGTCTTTTTAAGGTGGCTTTCATTGGTGTAATTAAAAAAACAGTTAATAAAGAAAAACGCATGTGTATCAAACCTGCAGGTGCGAGAGTAAACACTATAGTGGCTCCTCCTGGTGGCTGCTTCACTATTGAAGAGATGGAAAAGGTATTGTTTCCTGATGCTGCAGTTATCAGGCTACTTTAATCATTTCTGTCACTGCTGCCACTTGTGTAATCACACTGTTATCTCACCGCAGGCTTTATCCAAACACAGACCTGCGCTGCTCTTTGTGGCACACGGAGAATCTTCTACGGGAGTCTTGCATCCTTTAGATGGCATCGGACAGCTGTGCCATAAGTAAGACACAGCACTTTGCCATCACCACATCTGCAGCTAGACAGATGATATAGGTGTTTTGTGATTTGCTTGCAGGTATAACTGCCTGTTTCTTGTTGACTCTGTGGCATCAATTGGAGGAGCCCCTGTTTACATGGACCAGCAAGGTGCACTGAAAAATCCTGCCAGATGTTTCCAGTCTTTATTTTATGAAATAATATATGTGGATTTTTCTGTCGATGTTTGTACTTTTAGAGATAGATATCCTGTATACAGGCTCCCAAAAGGTTCTGAATGCCCCACCAGGTACAGCACCGATTTCCTTCAGTGAGAGAGCATGGTAAGAACTGCACATTTTTATCATTTTTATTCATTCAGAATAATAGGGTACCATAAGTATTTAAAGGTAAATTTATCCACAGCCAAAAAATCTTCAGCCGAAGGACAAAGCCTGTGTCATTTTACTTGGATTTGAGTTGGCTGGCAAACTACTGGGGATGTGATGGAAAGCCATCAAGAGTGTAAGACTTTCTCTGCAGACTGGACCGTGTTTCAGGCTCACTTTTAACCTATTACTAAGATCATTTGGTATTGCTTTGTCTCTTTTCATAGATATCACCACACAGGTCCTGTCACTGCTTTTTACTCTCTGAGGGAAAGTTTGTCTGTCCTTGTTGAAGAGGTGAGACATGTCTAGCAATTAAAAGGGTTCATGAGCCTGCAGTTTTAACATTTTATGCAATTAACTAATGAAGCACAGAATACAGTAATGGAAACAGAGCGTATCTCCTTTGTGGAAACCTGAGATAAAAGCACTGCAGCTAAAACATTTGGTGTCACTAAGGAAATGTCACATTTTCAATTAAAATCCTGACTTTTATTAAACAGATGAGTTGCAGAGTGAATGTGAAATATAGACCCCATCACTTTTCTTGAATCAAAAAAGAGAGAATAATTAGTCCAGCTGCAGCAGTCAGAACTTTGCAGATGCAGAACTCAGTTTGTTGAGGAAATCTGCAGACACCTCCCACCAGTTGAGTACTTCTTATGGCCCATACAGTTAAGCTCCAGTTAAGCAGCTGGATCCTATGTGGTTCAGTAACTGTCTTGGGAATCCCATAGAGGGGGAAAAATATCTATTATCCTGCTTATCTCAGTCTGAGTTGCAGGACAGGAGTCTAAGCAGGTATGATCAGACAGCCCTCAGCCACCTCCTCAGGTGAGGAGAGGGAAATGGCTTTTGTAGTTAGATGCCCAAACCACCACAGCTTTCTAGATCCATGGTGGAGGGGTTTACTTGGTTAAGTGATCCCAAGAGTGTTGATGTCAGGGGCAATTTGTCAAAACAGCCACACGGTAGTGTATGAATTCATTAATAGATAATTAATTAATGAGTGAACAAATGTTTGGCTTTTGTGCAGGCTAAAATATTTCAGCCTTGTACTGATGATCATGTTCAGAGAATTAATCCTACCAACTTTAGGATCGTTATATTTCTATAGTCTCCAACAGTTATCAGGCCAAAATTTAATTTATCCACTGCTTTGATTGGAATACCAACAACGTGACATTCCCACCAGACTTGGTATTGTGTGCCTGATGCTAATATGAAAAGTGCTAACACACTACTCTAAGAGTGAACATGAAACACTTTCACCTGTTAAATATTCATGTCATCCAGCATTAGAATTTAGCTGAACATGCAGCTTCACAGCACAGCTGTAGAGCACACTTTTGTGATCAGTACTCTGAAAATTGAGATATGGTTGATGAGTAAAGGACTTGCAGCTCCCTAGTGTCTGCGAATTGTCTGTGAATTTTTTAGCTTTAATTCTATAATTCAATTTTTTTAAGGGTTTGGAGAATTCATGGGAACGACATCTGAAGGTAGCCGAATATTTCCATGCTGGCCTGGAGAGCATGGGCCTCAAGCTTTTTGTCAAAGAAAAGGTAAGTTTTAGAATAATCATAATAATCTGTATGGGAATTTACATCAAGCTTGCAGCTCTTTCTTATATAAGATTAAATAATGAGCTGTTTGTTACAGCGTCTGAGGCTACCAACAGTCACTACAATTGTTGCTCCTTATGGATATGACTGGAAAGAGATCACAAGCTACATAATGAAAACACACAATCTGGAGATTTCTGGGGGGCTTGGACCATCAGTTGGTTTGGTAGGAGAAAATGATGATCGAGTGCCAATATGCATCATCCAAACACATTCGTTCCTGCCTGTGTGTTTTACATTGGATGTTTTTGTCGTTTTCCAGGTGCTCCGCGTGGGACTGATGGGATGTAACAGCAGCAGGGAGAACGTCGACATGGTGCTGGCAGCACTGAAAGATGCTCTGAAACACTGTCACAAGAGCAAAGTGTAACACGTGTCTAATGCTGTAAAGATCATTTTCCCATAAGGATGAAATCTGGTGCTCATGTGGTTATGCAGTTAAATATTAAAGTTAAATACATACATAAATTGCAGTTAAGTACATTTTTAACAATACAGCAACTTGTCATGACAGTCTCTGTTAATGGGAAACAACCTATTCCACCCCCTCCCATCTGCTTTATGGTCTTTTGTTTTTGCTGTGTTCATTCACAGAACAAACCAACGTATCAATAGGCTATAATTTAATAAATATATATATCTATCTAATTATTTAACTAAGAATTAATGATTAATTTCATTCATCGTGTCAAAGGGAGTGAAACAGATTATTTCCCTCCATACTATCAGAAAAAGAAAGGTGTTGAATATCACCTTTTACAGGACCTGTGGGTATTTAGCTGGAATTAGTTTTAAGTGATCACCTTCATCCTGATGGGAGTGTTCCCTTCCAGGGTGCCACCGGACACAAAGGGACAAAAAAGGGATAGCAAACAATAAAAATATATAGTCTTTATGACTTCCAGCTCTAAAAAACAACTAAACAGTTATGGGACATTTTGTGTCTATTTGCTATCCACCACCATTATCAAAACACCAAATCTGGGAATATCTTTTAAAGCGACATCCAGACTATCAGATACCTGGAGAGTCAACGCCAACTCTTATAGAAGGGGTTGTCATCTTATTTCGCCGTATTATTACCTTATATAAATCAATCTCTAATATGAAGCATCTCAAGGAGATTGCTGTTGTGATTTGTTGAGATTTTCTGATGACATTGAATTGACAGACTTGACAGGGGGGAGGGGTTCAATCTGAGAGCGAACTTCGGGACACTGCACACTCACAGGTGAATCAGCCAGTAAATTGCCCTGTGCTAATAAAACATGTTTTATTCAGCATAACTGTTGCTTGTGATTAAGTGTATGAAGTTCTAAGTACAGCCAAGGAAGTAGAGAGCAGTTTTCCATAGATATTGGAGCAGTTGTAGGAGTTTTATTTCCTGCATTTTTGCTTTTCTTGGATATTCTAATTCAAACAGACTGACGGAGTATTTACACGGTGTTGTAGGCAAAATCTAAATGATCTGTGAAGGGGGATGATGGGTAAACAGTAGAGGGCAGCAGTCGGAGAGCTAATGGGCTGGCTGAAACGTGACGAAGTGAAACAGGAAGTGCGTCATTGTGTTTCCTTGTTGACGTTTTGTTTTAGGAAAAGGCGGCAAATGGTGATAGGGCACAGGTCTGTTTCTAGGGCTTGGCTTCAGTTTGTTCGTGGTTTCTGCAACGTTCACCGCAGCACTGACGGACAGTGGTCGGAGATGGCGGGTAAGAGAGGAGCGCTCATCGTGCTGGAGGGGGTGGACAGGGCCGGGAAGACCACGCAGTGCAGCAAGCTGGTTCAAGCTCTGCAGCAGAGCGGCAGGCCGGCTGAGATGATGAGATTCCCCGGTGAGAATGCTTTCCGTTTTTCACCGAAGGAGCTTAAAGTTCTCCTCTGGCTTTGACGTGTCTGACGTGTTGTCCCGGGGCGGTTTTCTTCATGCAGACAGGACCACGACGATCGGACAGCTGATTGGGGCTTACCTGGAGAACAAGAGTGATTTGGAGGACCACACGGTGCACTTGTTGTTCTCTGCAAACCGCTGGGAGATGGTGTAAGACTCTCTACGTTAGTGTGAACATATGTGCCAATGAAAATCTGTGCGGAAAGAAAATCTCAGGTGTGTTCAGTACCTTTAATCAGGTCTCCTGAGGTCGGCTTCCTATTGGCTGCAAATCAGTGTCAGTGGACTGATCCTCGAGCTAACATGTAGGAAGTGACACGTTCCCAAGTTACTCTGATGACAGGCACTACAGTAGGAATGATACAGAGAAAATGGGAAGCAGTCCATGTTTGGACTTTTCAGTGCTTTAGCTTTACTTCATGCAGTCTTAAACAGGGGCGGATCTACAGGGGTGCCACCCTATAATATTCTCTTGCCACCTCAAATTTGCATATGACAGTGTTGTTTATTAAAAGAAGCTAGCATTAACACCTTGAGCCTAGCTACAATTAACACTGAATATAAATTCTAAAACTGAATATACTGCATATTGTCAGGCCTGCAGGCCTGTGGTGTTTTGTGGCAGACAGACTACTTCACTGGCACAATCAATTTGTGTGGCATCTGATTGTTCTGTAAATGTCTTTGTTTACAAAATTTGTGCATAGGTTTTTAAAATGTACAATTTAATTTGCATTTCAAGTTATGAAAATAATTAACTAAACATGTTTGTGGTTTTTACAGTAAAAAATAAACTTTTGCTGACTCTGATTTCATATTTTTTTGTGATTTCAGATTACATGTATTATTACAGTATAGCAATGAAAAAATAACTGTAAATTCAGACATGTGAGGTTGTGCTGAAAATAATGATACCAAACTAAGCAAGGCAAAAGAAGATCAAGCTGTTATTAAAAAATGGCAGTTATACCCTGGACCCCAGAGGGTTAACCTAATAAAACATGAAATATTAGGTTTAAATGTTTGGTGATAAATGTGTTGATGACAGTGCAGATTTCTGGCATTTTGTTTACATTCAAGCACAAAACAATCAGATTATTTCTGATATAAAAATGACTATGAAACGTAAGTTAGACTTGTGATTGTAAATGAACCGCCCCATGTTCTGTAGCTTTCTGGTTTTTATAGTTATTGGGCTACATTAATTTTTATTATATAGGCTATACACTACATAAAATCAAAGGTGTAATGAAAGGTGTATACTTATTGCAGTTAAATTATTTTAATCATATATAATGCATTTTACAGAATGTAACACCTGCATATGTGTAAAACAAAATGTCTTTGCCTAAACACTAATGGTCTGGCTCAACTGGAGACACCAGGCTAATAAAACCCAACAGTGTGATCAGCAGCTGGACGAGTGTTTTAATGTCAGGTGTAAAACCTAAAGCAGACAAACGGGTGGATGAAGACGGAGCAAAGATTTCTGATCTTGTCTTTCTTTTTAAAAAATGAAGGGACAAATTCTGAGCAAAACGCTAACAAAGCAGAAACCCAGTGATTTGTATTGATGGCTTTGTTTAATTTATTTCAGTAGCATTTTTTTTTTTTTGTGAAGAAAAACTCAGATGTTAGTTTTTATAGGACACCCCAGAAAGTTCATTGTGAATTTTATGAATCAATAGCTTATTACGTGTGAATTTATTTATTTTTTATAATGAAAAAAAAAAAATCAAAGTCATGATTTGCAGATAATTGTAGCAGTTTGATCCTCTTGAGATCAAACTGGGCTGCCTGTGGCACGTGAATTAAAATGGTTTGAGACCCTGTAACACAGGCTTTGAGCCTTATGGCTGAAAGGACTAGCTGTTTATTGATGCACAACTAAATATTTCCTAAATCAATATCACGTTTTTAAGGTTTCCTAAAAAGTAAAGTCATTCTATGAAAAAAATCAGTTAGTGCTTCCCACCTCAGAATCAGCTGATTTATTTTTTTACAGCAAGTTTAGTACAATTAGATAAGCCATGTTCATTTTTTTTTTACTTCATGCTATGAATGTTATAAATCACAGGTCCTTAAAAGTGCATAGTGGTGAGTTCAGTTTCACGCTTTTTTTAAAATTTTTATTTGCATTGGTTCCTTCTCCAGTTTTTTAAGTGCAAATGGACTGATTGGCAAACACGACAGCAAACACTGCTGGTTGTATCAAATGTGCTGACATTTTTGTTTCATTTCCTTTAAGTCTTTACACAGCCTAACAGATTCTAATCCACAGGCCTTTAATGAAGAAGAAGCTGGAGCAAGGCATCACTCTGGTTGTAGACAGGTATGCTTTCTCTGGAGTTGCTTTCACCAGCGCTAAGCCGGTAAGTGCATTTATTCTGCTTTTCAAACTCCATCCATCAGTTCGGTATTGCAACATGCAGTTGAGCGTGACAGATGGAGGTTTTTTGTCTTCTTCAGGGCTTCCGCCTGGACTGGTGCATGCAGCCTGATGTGGGACTGCCAAAGCCAGACCTCGTAATGTTTCTGCAGCTGAACCCGGCCGAGGCTGCTCTCAGAGGACAGTTTGGGCAAGAGAGATACGAGACGAGCGTCTTCCAAAGAACAGTGCAACAGCGGTTTGAACAGCTGATGAAGGATCAGACAGTAAACTGGCAGGTATGAAGGAAGCCTGAATGGAAGATTTATTCCGACAGGATGTTTAAAATGGGGATGCATCGGGCCGATATCTGTGTGATCAGGTGCCACCTGTCAGCTGCAAAGCACCGCCTAAACTCTATTTCGTGCCTGCGACACCAACAGCTTTTCTTCATGTCTTTATAGTTGCACTGGCTTCTTTTTCCTGATCAGTCTGTGCCATCACATACAGTAATGTATCATGTTACCACCTCCAGGGTTATTTTACTCCACCTGTCTTCATCAGGTCCACTCCACACTGACAGGTGTTGGTGAGAGCAGTATAAAGCTTGACTTGCACTGCAATGACTGAAGTGAATAAATACTGTGAACAATGAGAGTATGCTTTATCTTACTTTATCTTGGGCCTAGTGTTATTTATTGTTCTAGAAATAAGAATTCAGAATGTGAATTCTTGGATAGTTTTCATTTTTACAAAGTTATGAAAGCAGTCCGAGGTTCTCTTATGGGGCTTTCACACAGGATGTATCATGCACCGAGCTGTGCTCACTACTAGAATCAGCGAGCTGCAGAGCAAAGAGCTAAACAGGCAAAGCTTCACCACTGTTAAACTCCACAGCTGCATCTATTTGGATAGAAACCCGTTTCCAAGGAAGTCTTTTCCTCCTGTGGTTCTGATATGAACTTTTCCACTCTGTCTGCTGGATGTCTTCCTTCTACTTTAGGGCAGTCCAAGTTTATATTTGCTGAACTGTGGCAGCGGTGTCTGCAAGCACTCCAATGCTGCCTCCTGTGTGAAAGCACCTCCACAGTCTCTTCGTTGCATCTTATTAACGTTAAACTATCTGGAAAAAGACTAAAGTCGCCGATTTGTTCTAATTATCGAAATTTTCTTCCTCAGGTGATCGATGCAGCACAGAATATTGAAAATGTTCACAAAGACATCACAGCCCACAGCCTCAATGCCATCAACAAAGCACAGAACCTGCCGCTCGGAGAGCTCTGGAGTGAAACTCTTAAAAACTGAAGTCCTCTCCTGCACCCCACAAACTTCATCCCACACGTTTACTTGAGTAAAATATTACGTCCCACACTTGTACAAGTCAAGAGAGCTATACAAATTGAAATTCAGCTCTTTTTATTTTTGCTTTTTTCATTCTTTTACATAACTATTGTTCTGTCACCTGCCTATATACTGCTTTGATTAAATAAATAATCTTCCAATGGATGAGTGTATATGTATCAGACTTGGCGAGGATACAACTAAGACAACTTGTCTTCAGATTTGACTAAATTTGGTTTCGTTACAGGCTGTTACAGACGTCAGTTATTAGTGACAAACCGCGTAAGCCGTGGGCATCATGACCGCACCGTGTTTCTACACAACATAAAACTGTTATGGCAATTTTACTAATGGAGTCAGGGAAAGGCACCATATCACTTCAGAAGAAACATTTAAAAGTGTTAAGACTTAAATGGAAACACGTGTATGTGAAGATGTGCATACAGAATTTATCCTGAGCTCCTGCTACAGCTCCCCTCCACACCCCTTCCCTCCCCTCCCTCAGGCAGTCTCAATGATGGAGCATTCGGAGGCTGTGTGCCACACACTGACTACACCACTGGAGCTGGACTGGCTCAAGAGTTTTCCAGTTCACGTTCCTTCACTCAGGCTTCCCTTCTGATTCAGAGAAGACACGGTGAATCTTCCGTCCGCCATCGAGAACAGCAAATCATTGTTCGTTATTTTCGTCACAGGGAAAGGATTTCAAATTCCTCGTCCTCTGAATCGAAGAATCGCTCCAACCTGTCTGAGTCTGAGAAATCTGCAAAGGAAAATTTTAAATTAATGTTTATTAACTCTGTGAGTTAAGACATCAGAAACAGTGTTTTATTTATCTTTAGGGGGGATTCACACATCTTCCTTGCTGTCATGCATTTTCTTGTTTGGTGAGCTTTACGACCAATCAGTGTAGCATTATTGCCACTGGCCCCCCTCTTAAGGGGGGGTAAAAAAAAAACATTTTTTGTTTGGGGGGGGGGGTCTTTTCTTACCAAAACGTTTTTTCCTCCCAAAAGAAAGAGCTAAAGAGTAGCTACAACACTCCCCTCACAGAGTTGAATTCGTTTTTAGCATATTTAAGAAAATAATTTGCAGTATATTTACCAGGAGTAAGGTTAAGGGTGTCCACGCTGACCATATGAGAGGGCTGGCTGTCTACGAGTTCGAACATAGGCAGGGTCCCTCTGTTGCAGGACAGCTACAAGACAAGGACAATTATTTTTGCGATATTCCAAAAACACAGCGATGCCTTTATTAAGTTGTAATAAACAAAAATTTATGTTACAGACAGAGAGAGACACACCCTTCTTATGCGCATACACCAGTCATCAAACTCATCCTCTGTTCTGCAGAAGAAACCCTGGAAGAGCACAGAAAACACATTTATGTCTAACTATTAATATTCATATCTGCACACAACAGCCTGTGTGTCATCCGATATGTTGTTCTGTTGATTGTTGTATCAGCCGGAGGCACTTCTGAAAGGTCTTTGGCAGCATCTGGACACAGGATGACATTTTTTCCAAGCCCATCGTTATTCCACTAGCTCTTTACATGCCTCCACTGCCTTATCAGGCTCTTTCATACTTTCCAACAAATGCTGGACAAACTTGGGATGAGATCTGTTAACATTTGTTAACCTAATGGAAGGTTCAGCTATGGATCTTTTTCTTTAGTTAGTGGGTAATCTGTTTTCCCCTTTATTATCCTCTTTACTGTACGGAGGAAAATACTGTCAGACATAAACTGCTCCGTGGCGCAAAAAAAGGTTGGGGACTGCTGGTCTAAGAGACGAAGACTGTTCTAAGAGCTCTGCACTGTCAAACTCTCCCTGGCAGTCCTACCGCTGCGATGGATGGGTCCAGTTCACAGATGTGCATGCGACAGGGTGGGTGCTGGCAGTGGTACGTCTCATCGGGGACCTGACTGTCTTCAGACGGCTCCACTGCAGGCTGTGTGGTGTGTGGGTCTAAATAGATGAGTTCTTCTCCTGGGGACAAAAACACGTGTTCAGACCCAAGCGGGTAACTTAATGAAGGTGTTTAAGAAGAGAAGGAAAAAAAAGAATCACATGATGAACATGAGCTGTTTAGAATGCACAGTTTATTTCACAAACACAGAGACTAGACATACCGACATAACCAATGAAGTAATGGGCACTGTTGGGTTTTCCCCCAATAACACCAAGGGACTGAGGCAGCATGAAGCATTGCTGTGAAAAGAGACAAGAGGGTTTATCTCACCCCAGCTGTGGCTGAATTTGGCTTATATATATATATATATATATATATACACACCATGCTGGCACTGAATGTCTCCTTAAAATCCCTTTCCCTAAATTAAAATCTATGATAACTTAACAGGAGTTTTATTCAGGTACCGTTCTTGCATTGTTGATCCCATAATGCTGTCAGTCATGAGGGGTCATTAAATTAATAATGAAGCTTTTTATTTCCGTTTCAGCTGAACAGAGATGTGCTTTTTACTCCATGTGTTAGACGCTGGGATTGAGAAGCGGGCAGTGGGAGGCCGTACATAAATTCTACAGCACTGAGATTATTGAATCTGTTGAAGTGACTTGTAATTCTGGAAGTGGATAGAGATTTAAATTAGCAGAAGCTGCTTTTGAATACTTTTGTATCTTGGCACTGCTGATGAATTATTTATCTTGTTCCCAAACAGGCATCTGCACTACCCACAACCCTTTTAGAATTTTAGTACGGATAAAAGTCAGGCACACGGAGACTACATCCATTATCTGACTGAAAAGCCGAGGACACTACATGCTCAGACTGTGGTAACTTTTAAATAGTTATTTTCCTGGTCACTAACATAAAAGAGCATCCAAAGACAGAGCATTTTGCTCATCGTGCATGACTTTCTGACTGGTGGTTGGTCACACTTGCTCCAGGCTCCAGTTGCCTAGGTAACCGTCTGTAAATGTGTGTACTAAGCTGTTGCGTGTCAGTCAACTGTATCATTTGCTCTCGTTGGTTGTCATTTTGTAGTTTAGAATAGTTTTGCCTGAGCCCACTTTAATTCACCAACAGTTATATCAGCTGTAGTCTGGGCTCAGTGTCATTGATTTCTAAGGTCTCTACGCTGCTACTTCCTTCATGTGTGATTCTCCTTAACAGTATTGGATTTCTGATTTCTAAATGCCTCACATTCTACAGTTCGTCATTATGTCATTTCTTTGTGGTTATCTGTCATTTTTCCCCATTTTGCAAATCACATCTGCACTGACAGTGCTCATTTTTCATGATACAGTGGCCATAACTACTCACAGAATTGTGTCATTATGCTGTACATGCTAGTTTCTTACCTTGAGGGTATCAATGTAGGCATCATTTATATCGCTCAGGCCCAGCCTGAGGGGGATGAGCAGTACCAGAGGTCTCCAGAGCGCTGTCTCCTCCTCAGCCATGGCACACGCTCCCTCCAGGCATCCATTAAGCTCCCCAACTCCCTCCGATTCTCCATAGGCTCCTGCAGCATCCAGCCAGGGCATGCAAAGGCGCTCTACAGAAAAATGATCACAAAAACCAGAAAATTACTCAGATTACTGTCGACCATGCTGCCAGTACAATACAGTGAAGGAAAACTACACCAGATACAAATTAGGTCTGTGTAGAGTTATGCTGCTACTGGTAAATTAAGTAGCAGCATAACTCTGTCTTTGGATGAACTTGATTTCTTTGCAGAGACTCATATCAATCTGTAGATGTTTACACACAGAAACTGTTAGATTTGGTCAAACAGGAACTGTGTAAACAGTCCACAGTTGCAACACAGCTGCACTCACTGATCTCCTCGATGACTACAGTGTTGTCCATCGCCACGTGTACAACTACTTTGCTCCACGTATCAAACACCGCCAGCTTCCTGAAAGCAAAACAGCACAGTCACACGTTTTAATTTTACCCCAGCGCTCCAAAACACTAGAGAACTGCCCACCCTCTGGACTTCCTGGTCCACTGGGAGGTTTGTGAGCCAGTCTGATGGAGGTGTAAATTTCATGGGGAAAACAGGAAATTTTTCATCAAGTTTCAAAACATGGTGGTTCCGTGTTTCTAACGTTTTTGTGTTTTATGTTTTGATTAGCGTGAAATACGATTCTGAGACGATATGTGATGTCACAGCACCGTAATTCACTTTAGCAGCAAACTCCTGACAGCAACACTTTTGACAATCCGAATCAGCGCTTTCTTTTACATCCATATGAGTTACCCCTCAGACATAAAAGGGTTATGGGGTATAGACGTCACCCCGCTGGGCAAGTGGCGTGGACACCAAAGTTGTGAATGAGATATCTCCAAAACAAGTCGATGTAGGACTTTGAAAGGCAGGTGCATCTATGAAAAATCTCAAACCAGTACAAATACTGGTGACCTTGAACTCAAGGTCAAGTTCAGACATCAACGGGTAGACCTGGTGACCGGCAGTATGTTTATTTGTTTGGAAAATGTACACAAAAGGGGTACTTCATGTTAGAAATGATTAACCAACCAATCAGCATCCATTGGGAGACTGCTAGTATTTATGTGCAGCTTGCCATTCACTGTAAGAAAACTATGGGGGGGGGGGGGGTAAAAAAAAAAAAGTAAAAAATTTACATTTAAATTTAGATGTTTTATTTATACTGAAAAATGTATTTTTGTCTAGAACTAATTGTAAGGAACTATTTTAGCTGGTGTTACATATAAAAGTCAACTTAAAGGAATTTGAATTGCAAATAATAAAAATACCACACTGGTATGCTGCACACTAAGTGATATCAGAGTGGGATATTTCATTGGGGGTTTTTACTCAGCTTTTTTTTTTCCTGTTCTTACCAGGATTCTTTTCGATTTTCCTGCAGTAGTGATAAATGTCTGAAAAATGAAAATAAATAGCTGACCGATGAGCAGAAAAACTATAGTCCAGAAAATGCTAATGGATTAAAGACCAACAAGTAGCAAGTCAACAATTACCCCATAAACTTGAGAGCAGCAGAAATGCACTAAAAATGTTTAAGGCCTTAAAGACACAAATAATGTGTGCTTAAGAGAAATGCTGAACACAAAAACTGTTGTTTGCTCACAAAAATGCTGCACAGCACAGCTTTAATCTTTAATTTACAGAGCACAGAGCCAGTAATTCCTTTGTTCTAGCTTTCAAAATGCGGGGATTTCTTGCTCATTTTGGCTTTGTGTGTTTGCGTGAAGTCCACAATGGACCCTTGTGGTACTTTCCTGTACTTACTTTAGAACCTGGGCAACTGTGTTTGGTCCATACCACTGGCCAATAGGCTTTCCCTCTCCAACTCCCATTTGAGCTGCAGCATTTAATAAGAACAGAAGAAGAATTTCCTGTGAAGTCTTTCACTCAAGCCTTGGTGTAACTGGAATGGTTTGAAGCTCACTACTTACCAATTTGATGGATGGAATAATAGCTGTCTTTTTTGTCGATGAAGGCGTTGAGAAGACTGATGTACTCCTCTCTTTGTTTCTGGCCTTTGGCCCATCTCCAATCTGAAAACAAAAAGGTCAGTTATGAAATCTGTCAAAAACAAGCCTCGTTTCAATTCACTGGAGACGGGCTGTTGGTGCCACGCAGAGATAAAGTCCGCCTTACCTCTTCCTAAATGTCTGCACACCAAGGCCTCGCCCAGAATCATCTGGCCACACCGTAACATACATCCCCACCCCGTGTCTGATGTTGGTCCGGTCCCCCCTGTAACAGATTCATGGGTCACCCATAACTCCTTTTGATAGCCAGAGGTCACATTAGAAACGTGTGACAGAAGTTATGAAGACCAGAACTGACCAATCGGTGGGAAGTTTTTTCTGTATGTGAACCACAGCCGTGAAGTGACATCTGATAAAATCTCATCTTTCTCTACAATACAGACATCGGCATATTACAACATATCCACATCATAATGACAAAACAGAGTGGCTGACTTTGTGATGTGTTTCGTAGGTATTGAAATTTTCATGCGAGAAGATTCAAGTCCCACCTGTGAGTGCATTGTATTCTTTGCCCAAGATCCACACAGGCTCCGAGGTCTCGGGAAAATCTTCAAACTCAACAAATCGAAGTGTGTCGTATGTCAAGGTAGCTGCAAAAAAAAAAAAAAAAAAAAAAAAAAAGGAGGAGGAGTCTGAGGGAAGATAAAGCTGTTTTCACAACTCAACTCGGGCAGCTTACACGCTGACAGCTGAGGTGGTTTATCTCTTGCTGTGCAGTGCATGTGAGTGAGGACCATATTCAGACTTGTCAATAAATGTCAGGTGATCACCAGCATTATCACAGGCCATTTATTGCAGCTGATAAACATGAACCTATCTCTCAGGGAGTTCAGATGGAGTATCCATTAGTTGCTGGAGTGGACTCTAAACCACATCCAGGAACAAAAATTTGGGGGCTTTTAAGAAACTGATTAAATCAAGTGTTCACATTTGTTGCAGTGTCCTGCCTTTAAGCACTTAATATCCAAACCATTCAATTCAATTTATATAGCACCTAAATCCCAACAACACTTGCCTCAAGGCACGTGAAACTGTAAGGTAAAGACCACACAATAACATAGAAAATCTCAGCAATCGGGCGACCCACTATGATTTAACACTTGGTGACAGCGGAAAGGAAAATCTCCATTTTTACAGGAAAAAACCTCTTGTTTGTAGTAACTTCTCTAAGTCAACATATAATCTTCTGCAGACTGCCTGCCATGCACAGGATCAGCAATCCAAAGCAATGGACAGTGCACAAGAGAAGTGAAGGGAGTGCATGCAGGACGGAGTGGGTGGAGAAGTGTCTGAAGTGGTTTATGTCAAATGGGTAGCAGAAAGAACAAAAGGGAAGGTTAAGAAGATGGTAGTGAGACCTGCTGAGATGCATGGTTTTGAGACTGTGGCACTGATGAAAAAACAGGCCGGTGATCTGGAGGTGGCAGAGCTGAAGATGTGAAGACGCTAGATTTTCATTGGGCGTGACCAGGATGGATGAGATTAGGAACACATACATCAAAAGGGCAGCGTACATGTCACAGTTTGGAGAAAAAGTCTAAAAGTAAGGCTGAGAAGGTTTTTGACATGTGCAGTTGAGAGACAACAGATATATGGGCAAAAGATATGGAAGGCTGAAAAAAGGAAGAAGACAAAAGATGTGATTTATGGATGTAGTGAGAGAGGACATGGAGATGATTGGTGTGACAGAAGTGGATGGAAGACATAGTGTGAGATGGAGGTAGATTATCTAACATGAGGACTCCTAAAAGAAACAGTCGAAAGAAAGAAAAACACTGCCACAAGACCAGGATAACCTGTATTTGTTTAGTGTCAGGTTAATGTGATTAACGACTGTCTATTTGCTTCTTACGATTGCTCACTGCTTACATAACACGCACAGCGAAATTCCCTAAAAAAATTGTTCTCAATTAAGTTTTTTCCTGTTTAGTTAACCCCAATCTGAACCAGCCTATCTAAGCATAATCTAGCACACCCTTCTAAAACAACCAGAAAACTGCCTTTTGAGTCATGAGCAGCTAGTAACCACCAAGAAAATGTATGAAGCTGAATTAAACTCTGGAAGTAGCAGCCTTGCTGGGAGCTAGGAGCAAAGAGCAGGTACCATCTGGATCCTGTAAGCCTCTGGTGCTTCATTTTATATGTGAAACAAAGTTGGAGCCAGCAAGTCAATCAATATTTGAAAGACCGGTATGGAGAGGTCACTTTTATATTGAGAGGGCTTTATTTTGAAAGGCCATGCCACTTGAGTCAGTGAAAAACACTCATCCATCAGCCTGAAAATGATTCCTCCATGCTCTTACTTTAAACTCAGAGTCAGATACTTTTACTGATCCAAAAAAAGCAATTCATTTGCAACTTACCTACACAACCTACTTGCAAAATAGCAATAAAGTGAAGAAGATGGACAAAAAATACATAATGGATTGACAAAGAAATGTGTATAAAAATTAGCAATCATAAAACGAAGTTATTCTAAATGACCACTGCAAACGTTAAGGGATTTAATAGCTGATACAATGAAGGATTTTAAATATCTCTACTTGTTCTACAGTGGGTTACAAGGTAGTAACGACCTGTTACTACCTGAACACAAGAGATAAAACTTGGTCATGATGTTTAATAATAAGTGAGCACAAATTTCTCTGCCTAACCCGCGTGATTTTGGAGCAAGTGCTAACAATGCTGCTGAGGGAGTTTCTATCATTAAAAGCTAAAAACATTAAACGAGCAGATACAAGGAACTGTTAAGGGACTTTCAATAACTGAATAACAAAAAAACATAAAATTTAATTTTTGTCCCTAAAGACTTGATGAGGATGGTCAATGTCCAACCACAATAACAGGCTAGATTCAGGCTTCTCACTGCAGCTGGAAACACTGCGCTCAAAGCCAAGATAAACTTTAGTACAACAGTAACAAACATCAATAAATGATCGAGTTCTTATTAAAAACAGCATAAAACTCCCATTAAACCTGTTATCAGACACTAGAAAATATCTTAACATGCCTTAATATTCCCACCGAGCTTTAAAAATACGTGTTGCCCACATAACTAACAAGAGTCAGGCTAACAGCAGCTTGATAACCGATGTGATGGTGACAGCGCATCAGCAGGGATGCTCATCTTGGGCGTAACAAAACGTTAGCTAAAAAGTCCAAAGATGTATAGAGGACAAATTATTTAGAACAACATATGGCATCACAAGAAACGACACCTTAATAAATGTTTTGTGATGACACCACAAGTTGTCAAAGCGGGAATCCCGCAGATTTAGCAACAGTAGCAGCAAGCTAACGATAATTAGCAGTTAGCTTTAGTCATCACTTTAGCAGCTAGCGTCACCGAGGCAGGCTGCCAGCTGGCGACGCTGATCCCAAAGCGAAAGAGCAGAAGTGCCACGGCCAGGTGTTAAAGAGTGATGCTGTAGTCATTATAACTTCTAACGAGATTGCTAAGGGAGTAAAATATCATATTTTCCTGTAAAATCTCGCTTACCTGCATCCATCCCGACGGTCTTCACCCGATCTTGTTTGTTGTTCTCTGCACTCGGACACGCTGGACCAATGGGAAGAGAAACCTGCTGCGGAATCCGGAAACAGCCGGGACGTTTCTGTCAATATCCAATCGAATCTGGCGTGGCGGCTTTAAGACCAATCGGGAGTGCGTGACGTATCCATCCCGTGGAAAGCGTTTTCATGGTGCGTTCACGTACACAAATAAACACCAAAGGTGCGTTCAGGAGAGACCCTTATTTCCCTGCTGTATATAACCAACTGAATGTCAAAACATCTGAAGAGACACGGTCTTTAGAAGTTTATATGGAAACTAATTAAAAAAATAAACCCAACTGTTAGAAAATATAGACTTATAAATGATGAAAATTGTAGTAGTAGTGTTATCAATAGAAGAGTGTAGGTGAATGGGCTGTAAACAGCTTACATCAAGTCAAATGAGGCCAAATTATTTTCTGAAAGGTTTCCCTGTGAATGAAGACCCCAAAATCTGACTTTATTTATTATAAGAGATATTTCACGGTTCAACACAAATAACTGCTTGCAAAGATGCATGCTATTTTGACCCACTGAATGTGGTTCAGCGGTAACAATAGCCTTCAGTGTTTATGCAGTTTCTTTGCAGCCTACACATAAATGTAAGTTTACATTTTAAAACAATTCAGTAAATGATGTGCAACTAGAGATCAGTCCTGGGATTATGAAACAAAAAAAAGACTGAAACATAAATACTGAAAAAAAAAACCCACCTGTAAATACAGGTGTTTTCATTTCATGCACATAGACCACTAATTAATACTTTGTAATGAGGAATCATTTATTCAGGGTTTACAAGTGCTCATCCTTTGGAAAACAGCTGAAAATCATCATTAATGGCTCCAGACTTTACAGATTGCTTTAAGAATATTTTATTTATGTCTGCATATTTACAGTCAAAGACCATTCACAAACATTTATGTATTTAACATGCCATATAAACAGTGAAATTATTCATGGAATAAATTCTACTCACGAAATGAAAGTGCTCAGAAAAAAACATGTTGCAACTCACTGCAGTTTCAGTACAGCAATATAACAAACTCCCTCACAGTGACCACTGAAGATGAATTAAGCTGCTGTACATAGAGACTTGGTGTAAGCATCGAAGCCCATTAAAAAAACTAAAATCTTCTAATTTTATATCCTAATAAAAAAGTATTCATAAATAACTTGGGATAAAGCTTAATCTCAGCTTCAACATTTGCAATCTTAATGTTTACTATGGATTCACCAGGTAGAATAAATGTATGGTCTACCCTTTTTATAACAAAGGTACATTTCACCCCAAAACCAAAACTGCATTGATTCCCTCTGGTCTATGGTCTTATTGATCCTTCTAGAGTTTGGATCAATGCCACCTGTTTCATCCAACTGTAGAACCAACAAGCTTATGCCACGGTGAGGATTACTCCTCCTGGAGTATTGATCAGAATGTAATCACACTTAAACACAATGATCACCTAATGGGTTTCCATCCAAATTTGTTTCATCAAGGTCAAGGTCACATTTGCCATTTTACAGATAACAGCACACCATGCATCGTTTTGCAGAAATCATGACAGGGTTACTCATTTAAAAAATAAATTAAAACTATCTGCAAACTTTGTTGTCAGCAGTTTGATGAGAGACTGACTTTCTTTCTAAAAGGTTACTGTTTTTTGTTTGTTTTTTTACAGTTAACATTTGTTAACTGTATCGCTGGAATTAGCTATGGTAAAATTGTATTTAGTAAAAAGAAAATAATGAAACAGGGCTGATGATTTAGCGTAAGAGGCATTGCTGCTGAGTTTTCAATGCTTTGAGCATCAAAGGGCCGTTGTCATTTAATTTTTATTATTTTCAAGAGAAAGCAGACATATATAAACCTGTCACCTCCAAAAACAGCAACTCATGCCTGAATAATGTAGACTGACATACAGCATAAGAGGGCCAGAGGAAAATCTGTCAATCTGACATTGGGACGAACTGTCACTTTAAATGCTTTCAGAACAATGTTGAAGAGTGACTGTAGGAATGGAGAGAAAATGTCAAAGCTGCTGCCAATCATGATAAGAACAATAAAGGCCTGAAACAGAGAATGTGCTGTTCTGAGCATTTCAGACTGCAAAGTCAAAAGAAAAACAAACACACAAACCATGTTTTTTCTGATCCCTCGATATCAAGGAATTTTGTACAGTCCTTAGTTGGTCTTTATCTAGCATGAACTATTACAGCCCAGGCGAAAAGTGTAGATTTCCTCTAATACCAAGTTCTCATGAATGGCCACAGGATCTCGCAGATTATCCTGAGTTGACTTCTCTGTGTATAGGGCTAGTAGTTACCATTTGGTACCACTAGGAGCAGCCAAATCCCTGCAAAACAGGCACCAAGACTGGAAGCTGTGCAGTTTGATGAAAAATGAAAAGCTAAACTTGCTCACAAATGCAGTTTTTATACGTTTGCATCCGATGTGTGCCATTATATAACCATTAATAATAAATAGACAAGGGGAAGCCAAAGACGCGAGGAAAGTTCGCTGTCTGTGAAATGGGTGGGTGTTCATCAACGAGGCTCAGTGCAAATAAGTGTAAACATATTCCAAAGCAGTGGGTGCTTTAGTGGTGTTGGTGGTGTGCAGTGCCGGGCAGTGTGCTCACAATCCACTGTGTCTCTTTTTCTTTCACTTCTCGCGGAGGAGGTGTAGCACGACCGTCTTCAGGTAGTGTCCAAAGGCACAGACAGCAGACACCAGCCAGTGCGAACAGAAGTTTGGGTCAGTGCTCACCACGCACTTTGTTACATCCACCTGCAGGGAGACAGAGGAATAAAGATAAGTAAGTTTCACACAAGTGGCAACCTTTGTGGCTGAAAATAAAAACCAACCAAGATATCCAACTTTTCAGGAGAAATCAACATCTTCACCACCTGCTACAGAAAACAGTTTGAGCCAATTTCCCCCCTTTATAACAAGTGTACAAATGATTTATTTATTTATTTTTACATAATTCACCTGTTGTATGGTTATAATCACTTTATCACTAATCCGGCCCACTCAACATGTGACATGTCTCAATTTTAGCTGTTTGTGAAGTTTGTGCTACCGCTTAGGTGAGTCAAATGTAAGTATTTTTTGTGTTACTTAACTCTAACGAGTAGATATTTGTATATTTACTTCCAGATGCATATTCTGTGAGTCATAAACTGTATATAAAGAATGAATGTAGCAACCATAACATCAACCATTTGTTTTGGCATTTTGAAGCCACCATGTAAATATTTTGAAGCTAGAAGAGACCGTATTTGAATAAAAAACTGTAGTGCTAAGTTATTAGCTAAAGCTAGCTTTTAACAAGCTGCATCCATATACTGTGTATACGGTAGCCCTGAAAGGTCAAACAGACTGCAACTCAAAAAAGTACCAGCAAATAGGAAAATGCGGCAAAACCACACAAAACACAAAGGAAGTTACATGAAATACAACAGAAGTAGAAAACAACAAAATCTAACAAAACACCATGGAAATGTTTCTGGGGAAACAATAACACTCCCTTTTTCTATTATGTTTTGTTTAACGTTCATTGTGTTTTGTGTGCTTTTACAGCATTGCTGTAGTTTCTGGCCTTTTCTTAAGTTGCAGTGCACTTGACCTCACTGTCTGTATGGGTGCAAAGCAAAGACACAAATACCTGCTTATTAATTTTAAGTAGCAGACTAATAAAATACTTGTCATATGATGCAGGTTTAGAACCCAGGAGCCAACTCTAAGGGAGGGAGCGCTAAACACAAAACACACCTTTAAGAGAGTTTGATAAGCAGTCCCAAAAATACAAAGTCCATAAGACAACATACTGACAAAACACAAAGGAGAGACAACACACTCACACACTGAGGGATAATATCATGAGGATGAGACAGTTGAAACAAGGCAGAGGAAAGTTAAGAGTTTAAATTAAACACTGTCCATAGAGGGCCAAACTGTTTTGGAGAAGGCTATAAACAGCATTTCTAGTGCTATAAAGCTGACTTGTTTTTCAGTTGATTGCTAATCAGCTAACTAACTTTAATCAATAAGCTGGCACAATACACGTCTAGCTCAAAAAAATCAAAGCTGTCAGTGGCTGGTAAGCTTTCTTTCAAAGCAGAATTTCACATATCATGATGTCACCATGGCTATATCCATCATTTATTTACAGTCTATTGTTTTAACCCTCTGAAGTCTAAGTTGCACTGTCCCCGGGCTGTGAGAGTATGTTATTTTTGAAAGCTGTTCTCCCAAGTCTTGGTAATCAGGGGACAAAAATAAATAGAATAGAAGAAAGTAAACCTTCTGACTGACACACATCAAAAGCTATTTTTACTTTTTTTCCCCCAAAGAGTCCTTTTGGGGTTTTTTCCAAAACAGATGGTTAGAGTTTCTCTTCGTGAATGATGACTTGGTTCTCACAGGGTTTAACAGACACAAGACGACCTTACAATTTCAACATGTGTCCTTCATTTTCCACTAATCTGACAATCTGCAGATATGCAGCTAGCCCACAAGAATGCCATTTTAAAGCCAGAGCTCACACTTAATTCTGAGCACTGCTTACAATACGAGGCCATCTACTCAGACTTTTACAGACAATGAAATACCACAGAGAGTGCAGTTTAGTGTCAGCTCTGACACTAAACACTTCTCCTCCTTCAGCTCCTGCTGCTTCTCCCAGTCACACAACGTTATTTAGGTTTTCCCCGCACACTGACATCATCTGTCAGAGCAGACGTCTCTGGGTTAGAGTAAAAAACAGGTCGCTCATTTGTACTCAGGAGGTCAGTTATACAATGCATCGCTCTCCATTTCGTCACACTCCACTTCTCTCTGAACAAAACAGGCTCGGGTGCCATGTTTCAGAGCGCACGGGCCTGTGGTTCGCTCTGCTGGAAAGGCATTAATGTGCTCTTTCCAGCAGAGCAGAACGCGGACAGAGGCACGTTGTCAGGCATCGTTCCATTTCACACACTGTTTGTCCAGGACTTTATCAGATAGGCTATTCCTATAAACACAATTCTGCAGAAGAACATCCCCTTTCTAACTGAACCATTTGTTCCAG